TATGTTAAACTTTTGCCTTATTTCTCCGCGGGTCATTTTCGTCACATTCACAGTTCAATTTGATTGTAACAGCAATACAGCACCACTAGATCAATTTTCTTTCGATTAAAAAACAGACATCAGCTCCAATATTACGCAAAGGAAAAGACAACCAAATTTTTTTGTGTTCCTGCTTTCGTTTATCAACGATGGGAAGGTAGGAAATTGAAAACTTTCTCCCTCACTTTCATTCTTGGGCTATTGTTGCTGAATAATTAAAGAACAAGGTGTTTCATGTTAGCGAAACCTTTTTCAAATACATTTAGTTCGTTTGTTCTTTCAGCAAAAAAATAACATCCCCTTAAGTTCAAGGGCTCATATCTGTAAAACTGATGAATTTTTGTGCTAAACTATTTTACTGTGAATACAAGAAAAAATAACCGAGTCTACTAGAGACCTGTTGATCTATACTCTCGTGACAAAAGAACTGAAACTGTTTCTCCTTTATTTACAAACTGTGGGTACTTACCATTTACATTTGAAAACCGGAAATTCCAGTTGGAAAATCAAATGGTTCGCGCCATTCCGTTTGGGAATCTTCTGAAAATATGGGCTGTGATTTGAGTTGATGCTATTTTTCTGCTCTTTGAAGTCTCTCTAGCTGATATGGATATACTTTATACCGATTCCTTCTCTCGCAACGTGGCATTCAAGTGTTTAATGTTTTTGCGTGAAATTTCCAACCGGATGGTTTCTGTAAATGGTAAGCACCCTGTTTCTCCTTTCTTTATTAAAACTATACTACACAACAATTCCGGGCCGTGACATGATACTCTATACCGATAACGTAAAAATTCGATGTACTAACCGGAACGCTGATTAAATTTAGGAGGTCAAGGAAGAGTATTACACTAGACTTACACTATACGCGCGATTTGTGAAGGGGCGCTTATTTTATTTGTTTTATCTTATCTGTCCAAAACTATCAACCGTAAACTTGGTTAAATCTTCGGTAGTGTAGTGAATTATTTTACTGTAAACATAAAAAAAAACTGGCAAATCTCAGCTTGAAGTAAAAACTAACAATAAAAGCGCGCGACGTTTCGACCGAACTTTCTTTGTTTTATATTTATACTTATTACTGGCTAGCCCCGTGAGCGGGCAAGATGAATCAAATCCTGTGTTGTGATTGGCTACCCGAGCG